TGCTGCTGTCTCAGACAGTGAGGAGGCAGTGACCCGACACAGCCAAGGTTCTCGTGCGCATGGCTGGATCAAGATGGGGCTCAGATAAGCATTAGGGGGGCTGCTGCCCACAGAAGGTTTCTACCTTCATACATAGAATGCTTGAAAGTAAAAAACCTTGAGCCTTTACAACCACTTTAATGTGGAAAATTCTGCTTGTTAATGTACATGTAGTAACGCAACTCAACACAATGGCACGATTTGAATGGGACCATATACATTTTGGCTCCTTCTTTCTGAATATTCCTTTTAATACAGTAAGTCACCTACCTATGAACAAGTGCGTTCATAAGTCCAATTTGTTCATAAGTCCAACAAAGTAAGCCTAGGCACCCAACTAATACAACTGGCTGTATAGTACAGTGTACTGCACTGTAAAAGCTGTATAATTAATATTATTATTATACAGGATTTATATAGTGCCAACGGTTTGCTCAAGCTAGAAATAAAGATAGTGTGCTCTATACAGAACTGTACTTTAAAGTACACAAAAGCACAACAACTTGTGGAGGATGCATGTACAGTACGTGACAATGTACCCCAGATGCATGAACTAACTTACGTGATTAGACATACGAACACATGTTTGCATCTTTAAATGTTTCCATCTTGAAGGTTCATATGTAGGGAACTTAATTTTTTTTAGACAATGAAGTCTGGAACTACTGCATGTATAATGCAGCATATACACTAGTGTAAATGTATGGCACAGTTTTTTTCTGTCCTGCTGTACTCACTACTTGTTTCTGGCTCATCCACTCTGCATTTGTTTTGGTGTTCTGCGGCTAGCTCGACCTTTGCCAAAAGCCTTGCAAATACTAGGTCTAAAAGAGAGTAGTGAGCTGACTGGCTCAGCATGCACTTTATGCTTGGGGGTTGGTGTGCTGTCGTGCTATTTGTTTAAGTGTTTGAACGTAGACAATCTTCCGCTTTCTAAAGCTTCAGCCAAGGGCAGAAAGGTGCCCAAAAAACACACGGCGATGGATGCACTTTTACAAATTAGCCCCTATGCACACCCGAGCAATTTGAAGCAATTTTCCAATAGGGCTTAATTGCTCGACACCAGATTCTATTCTGTCTGTTCACATGTGAGCAATGAACTGTCGCTAAACACTAAAAAATGTAGAGCTTCTATAGAGCATGATCTCCTCTTTTTGGTAAAAAACTGCCTGAAAAACACGCAGTGTGGTGTGAACCAATTATTAACATGGCTTTACTGTGTTTTTTCAGTAAGACTACCCATTGCATTTCCCTGCTTCTTCATAAACAAATCTAATACAAAACAAATGCAAATGTGTAAAAAATGCTTGTCTTTACCAACTTTAACTAAACAAACTAGAAAGCAGAAGCTAACAAACAAACACAAAATTAAGCCCATGCATTGCCTTCTATTGTATTTCTCATACAGCTTAACAATTATATATAAAAAATAATCTATATATTGAACTGTATTGTTGCTGTATTATCTCCTGTTATATTGTAAAGCACTGAGCAAACTGTTGGCGCTATATAAATCCTGTATAATATATATATATATAAATAATCTATATATTGAACTGTATGTTGCTGTATTATCTCCTGTTATATTGTAAAGCACTGAGCAAACTGTTGGCGCTATATAAATCCTGTATAATATATATATATATATATATATATATATATAATGATTATATATAAATAATAATTGAGACAGTTAAAGTTGAAAATCCTGTTGGTATTACCAATAGCTTTCATGAAAGGCTCAAAGTTCTCCTGGGACTGCAGCTCGAAGGTTCCTGAGAAAGCCATCATAGAAGGAAGGGTTGCTGATCTGCTGCTGTGGAGAGTCAGAGAGTGAATGTGACACCTCTTCCTTCACTTCTCCTTATAACAGCCTTCTGTAATCTCTGTGATCAGCAATAAGGTGATGTCATTCACTTTACAACTAGGTTCACAGCCACATTGCTGTGCATTTGTTATGCTAAACACAATGTCATCACTTCTTGTGATAAAAATGGTTAGTTTGTCACTTGTACACCCACACAGCACAGAAGTATAATGCATAGATGGCAAGCATTCAATATGGGGCGTTTCCTATGACCCCTATAAAGAAAGAGATAGCCAAAGAACCGACAAACTTATAAATCATTCAAGGTCAATGCACATTTAAAAGATAAGAAAAAATATGTACCTAACAATATTTGCTAATGCATAGAAGCCGTGTGGTAATGGCAACAAGCTTTACACAATGTTGGTACATACCAATACAGAAGATGCAACAAAGTTGACCCTCCTTGAGAAAGGGGCATGTGACCCCGAAACATTAGGTTTGAGGCCTCAGTTCTATGCTTGCTGTGCCATTGGTAACTGTTGTCATTTTGCATTTTTTGCTGTATGTTGCACCTTTGTTTATACCTAGAGATGAGCGAATCGAACTTGGCGAAGTGGAATTCGTTTCGAATATTAGGAAAAATTTGATTCGCACCGAATCCGAAAATTAGCAAACTTCGGATGCACGAATCGAATTTTTCCCGATCGGCCGATTTTCATCCCTTCTACAGCCGGCAAAAAGTGTCCCTGCAGAGAGCTCCGCTATTTCTGACAGTTCTCTGACAGTTCCTTCACATTTACAGCGGTTGAAACATTGTATCTATTTGTTTCCATTTAGGATACAGATGTTTTTATTCGGAAACAAATAGATACAATGTTTCAACCGCTGTAAATGTGAAGGAACTGTCAGAGAACTGTCAGAAATAGCGGAGCTCTCTGCAGATACACTTTTTGCTGTACTGGAATTCTTCTTATTTTCATCCTACTTCTTCTTCTTCTTCTTCATCCTCTTCTTTTTCATCCTCATCCTCTTCTTCTTCTTCTTCATCCTCATCTTCTTCTTCTTCTTCTTCATCCTCATCTTCTTCTTCATCCTCATCTTCTTCATCCTCATCTTCTTCTTCATCCTCATCTTCTTCCTCATCCTCATCTTCTTCCTCATCCTCATCTTCTTCTTCTTCTTCATCTTCTTCATCATCATCTTCTTCATCATCTTCTTCTTCATCATCTTCTTCATCATCATCTTCTTCATCATCTTCTTCTTCTTCATCCTCATCTTCTTCTTCCTCATCCTCCTCTTCTTCTTCTTCATCTTCTTCTTCTTCATCCTCATCCTCTTCTTCTTCTTCCTCTTCTTCTTCATCATCTTCTTCTTCTTCTTCATCTTCTTCTTCATCCTCATCTTCTTCCTCATCCTCTTCTTCTTCGTCTTCTTCTTCTTCATCCTCATCTTCTTCTTCCTCATCTTCTTCTTCTTCTTCATCCTCATCCTCTTCTTCATCATCCTCATCTTCTTCTTCTTCATCATCTTCTTCTTCATCTTCTTCATCCTCATCATCTTCTTCTTCTTCTTCATCATCCTCATCCTCTTCTTCCTCATCCTCATCCTCTTCTTCTTCATCCTCATCCTCTTCTTCTTCCTCCTCATCTTCTTCTTCTTTTCTTCTTCATCCTCATCCTCTTCTTCTTCTTCCTCATCCTCTTTTTTCTTCTTCATCTTCTTCTTCTTCTTCTTCTTCTTCATCATCTTCTTCTTCATCATCTTCTTCTTCATCATCTTCTTCATCATCTTCTTCTTCTTCTTAATCTTCTTCTTCTTCATCTTCTTCTTCATCTTCTTCTTCTTCATCTTCTTCGTCGTGCCCCGTGACTGCCCAAATGAGTGAAGTGTGCGGTGATTCTAAGATCGACGGCACTCATCTGCATGTCATACTGACTGACAGTATTTATTATTTCTCTTCCCCAGCAGACTCCAAGGGCATTTAAATTAAAGGTACAGTGTTCTGCACTAATATAAAGGCTCTCTGAAGCCTAGAAACCCTTTTAATAAGTTAAATTCGCAGCGAATAAATTTGCATCGAATCGAATTTATTCCGCAAATTCGGCGAATCAGCCGAATCGAATTTTTGAATAATTCGCTCATCTCTATTTATACCCTTACCCTTGAATATGTACTGTGTATGTCTCACTGATAGCTCTATGTAACGTCCATTTCTATCCTATCCCAATAAACTGTGCTCGGAGAAAGTCGGTGGTCCTGATAGAATATCAAGTAAGGCATGTTAATGTGGCATACAATAAAACTGTCCTCACTGACAGCCATTCTTATTTTCTTGATAGGCCACCCCGTCTTCCCCCCTAATACCTTCCCTGCACTCCTCCCCTGTCCTATCCGCCTGCTGGAGCCCTGAGTCTACTCCCTGAGTATTTTCTGTATCAGCCAGTTTTGGAGCATACAAAGGGTTATTGAACGTCTCGCCTCACCCATGTGACAGGATTCAAGCTTGGTGATGGTCATGCTGGGAAGAAGGTGAGATGAGCTGATCCTTTCTCATACCCAGAAGTTCTGGATAATTCCGAGGAGTGCAAAGTGAAGGTGTGGTGTGGCGGCCATAACACACAGTCCAAGAGCGATGTAAAGAAATTGTATTGAAGTAATGCAAAGACAGTTCTGCCATCTGGTTCCAGTAACAATTCTAAACCCATCAGTACATCTGTACAATTTATATAGGTCATTTGATGTTCACTGTCCTTCATGAAAGTACATGTTCAACTATGTCCTGTCATCTGCTGGCAACGTAGGCTGGAACTTTTCTGTTTCCACTTCCACCTTCTTCCTCTTTATCCTTTCCCTGTTTTTCTCTCTGTATTCTCATTTTATTATCTTTTAACCTTCCGTTCACATTCTTTCTGCTTCTTGCATCCATTTGCCTTTATCAGTTCAGCTCAATTACAATAGTTTTAAGTGACCTGTGAGCCTATACGACCTTGACAAATATAACCTGAAAATATGTGTTTCCCAGCACAATTAAGGCTCGGTTCACACTTGTGGGCTGGTTGTGGGTGCAAGAATTTAACCTGTTCCTGCACTCGCAACCACCCGCAGCCAAATCACACTGCTCTTGCATGACGCACAGGGCTGAAATTCATTCTGAATGGCACCCCCATGCATCTCAGCCTGCATCGCGTTTGAGGGTGCAGGAACTGCAGGGAAATCACATAGTCAAAAAGACTATGTGGCAGCATTTTTTAAAAGGTGCATGTATCTTTTTCTTGCAGGAAAACGTGAGCACAGCAGCCCATTCATATAAATGGGCTGTCATGCCCAAGCAAAATCAACGCAGCCCACAATACTGTGAACTGAGCCTAAAACAAAATAATTTGATACCAGTATTAGAATAAAGTGTCAGCTTTTTACATAATTTTTGTTGCTTTCCCTGAAGATTTTGGTCAATTTGATAGATTTCATAGATTTTAAGGAAAAATAGAGCTTTTTTTTAGCCTGGCTTGGTATAAGCGTTGAGTGGTTGGAGAGGGTTTCTGCCTTTCCATGGTATTTTGGAAAGTCTGTCATGGTCAACAAACATGAAGACAAACACAGCAATGTATACATTTTTCTAAGATTACTCAAGGTCTAGAGAAGAAATTGCTGGAGATCCTCTACTGGTCAACCATTCAGTGTATACTGGGGTACTGTATTTCATTGTGGTACTCCAGAAGATCAGTGACTGATAAGGCCGATCTTCAGGTTTTTCCAATATCCTCAGAAGATTGTGGGGCGTGAACTTCCTTCTTTAACTGAGATTTATCAGTCCCAATGAGCAGAATGAACAGAAAGAATAGTAAATGATTCTTCTTATCCTGATCATCATCTATTTGAAATAATGCCATCGAGTAGTTGTTTAAAAAATATTAAGGTTAGAACAAATTGATCCGGGGACAGTTTTTTTCCCAAGGGCAGTTAATATGAAAATCAAAACAAACTAGCCAGTGGTAACAGATTTTGTCCCAAGATAGGGGAATGGCTAGACCTTTTTATAATGATGTGTTTGCTTTATTTTTAGCTACATATATTTGAAACATGTTGTTTTGTCTTTTTATTTTAAGGGAGATTATTAATATTATTATTATACAGTATTTATATAGCGCCAACAGTTTGCTCAGCGCTGTACATTATAATGGGAGACAATACACGAGACAGCACAGTAACAATACAATACACGAGGGGTTCGAGGGCCCTGCTCCTTGGAGCTTACAACATAGGAGGGAGGGGATAGTGGTACATGAGGAAATAGCTGTGGGGGATGGAGTGGTAGGAAGAGTGGAGGAGATCGGCAAGTTAGCAGGGGGTGGGGTAGGCTTCCCTGAAGAGATGGGTTTTCAGGGTGCGTCTAAAGGTGAGGAGGGTAGGTGACAGTCTGATGCATTGGGGTAGTGAGTTCCAGAGGATGGGGGAAGCCCTGGAGAAGTCCTGGAGATGGGCATGGGAGGAGGAGACCAGGGAACTACAGAGTAGGAGGTCTTTTGAGGAGTGGAGAGTACGTTTTGGGTGTTAGATGGATATCAGGTCGGTGATGTAGTTTGGGGCAGTGTTATGAACATCAATGTTAGGATTTTGAATTTTATGCGTTGGGCAATCAGGAGATGTGTGTAAGCATTATTATTTATTATGTGAGAAGTGGCAATGCAATTCTGTTGTAAGTTTATTTTCCAATGATCATAAAGGTCTTCCTATCTTGTCTTATCTTATCTTGGTCAGATGGCACGGTGGCTACATAAATGTGGTACCAGAGTAATATGCAGACCATGACCTCCAACGCGGTAAAATGATGTGCTGAGATAAAGAAATTAGAGTTATTGGTGATAAAGAACAAAATACTTGATTTACAGTTGTTCTCACAGTTCAGAAATTCATAGAAGCCGGGACACTCCCGATGGTAAATGGCTAACACACAAGTCACCTTTACTCTATATCAACACAGACGGTCATAAAAACTAAACTTTACTGTATGTATCGATGTCACTCAAGTGAAGGGAATCATTTGCAAGACACGCAACCCTTAAGGATGAGTTCACCTTTTAATAAAAAATAATAAATGTAAATTTTTTTTGCAGGTAAAAAAATTTGCATTTATTATTTTTGCCTGCAGTAGCCTGTAAAGCATTGCATCAGTGATCAGCAGATTGCTGGTGCCATGCAGGTCTTCTGCAGATCTGTCAGAATATCTGCTTACTCAGACGGGATATATATGGGGGGCGGGTATCCTCCCTTAGCTGTTAAAGTGGGGAGCAGGGGGAGCGGGGCCTGGTCTGATCATAACATCTTACACTCTGAATATGGATGTAACATGTTACAAAAGGTGAACTTATCCTTTAACATTCTCAATGTAATCAATATCAATGGTGCTTAAAGGAAAGTGAGAAGAATATAGAATATAGAAACTCTCACTATTGACCAATGCTTCTGGAAATGGTAGTTGTCTAGCTATCATGCTGACCATTGAGCCTCTATACATTGCTGACTCAAAACAAGTTTCCAGATAAGGACTTCTGACTTTACTCTCACTTTCCTAATCAGCAAACATGTTGTGGGCCAGTGAAGTCAATGGTGGAGAACAGGGGCGGACTGACAACTCATGGGGCCCCCGGGCAATAGGGGATCATGGGGCCCCTGTGTCCTTGCCTAAACTCAAAAAAGCCTATGAAAAAGGTACCAGGGGCATCTCATGGGGCCCCCTACTGACCCCGGACCCTCGGGCAGTGCCCGAGTTTCCAAATGGTCAGTCCACCCCTGGTGGAGAATATCAGCCAGGCAGCTAGCATTTTCAGAACAAAAAAGCACTCAGTGACAACTTTAAATTTCCCATGACCACTTTATATTAAAATATCCAATATTTGGTTCTAATTCCTCTGTGCAGCAACAAGAACAATGTCTGTGAGTGCTGTACTACCAATAGGTTCGTTCTAAATGCTGTTTTATGTTTTTAGTATCTATTTATATAAAATCTTAGTTTTACAACTTACCATTTAAATGTCCTTTTATGAAACTGAGATCAGCGTCGATCCTAAGGATCGTTGCTGATTTCCGATCATTTGTGGTTTAGGAAACAGAGATGATCAGCGGAGAACATGTCCTCAGCTGATCATCTCAGCACACAGATGGCCAGTGTATGAAGGAGCGATGTCAGCCCTTCACTGGCAATCTGTATGAAAATTCTCCCACTGGATTCTCCAGCCCAGAGATGGAGAATTGGGGAATATGGCAAACGAAGCAGAGGTAATTTACCGCTGCTTAGTAAACGGTGTTTGACTGATCTCTTACTGTAATCTCGCGAGATTACAGTAACAGCAGCCGATTTCTAGCGTTCAAAGTGTTTGTAGACCGCTTCTCTTCTCATTAGGAGAAGCAATCTACACCGCTTCATGAACGGGCATTCAGAGAACTGTCTTCTCTGAGAATGCCGGAGAACTGAGCAGCGGTCATTTACTGCTGCATGATAAAAGGACACCTTAATGCAGGATGCATGATATTGGTCTAAAGAGTGAGCACAGCAGAAGCTGTCTGCCTTCAGACTGTCTCTATCCAAAACATCTTAGAGTCCTGTCTAAACACAACAGACAGAAGGGAATGGTTCCTTCCTCTTAATTCATTTAGTTGTGTATGTGAATTTAAGGTTGAGTTATTGAGCTCTGTAAACAGAATTTTCCTTGTAAAGCAGCCAACAATAGCCTGCTAAACAATGAAAATGAATCTGGAGCTCCACTTGATGGCTTTGTATGTACAGTATATTATATTTACAAATGGCCATTGCCCTAATCTTTAACTGGCCTTCACAGCAAGGAGCACATGGAAGGGCGACACATGTTAAAGAATTTCCTGCTGACAGCTGAAATGTCAATTTTAAAAAGCTGTCAATAAACAAAAAAAACTGTCAATTACTGGTTGTTAAGGAGCAAGGCTGCTGCGTCCTTAACAACTGATGACCCATTCAGCTGTTCCCCTGCAAACAGCTGAATTGTAAACAAGTCCAGGCAACTGTCAAAAAAGAAGCCTGACAAAGTTTATTAACAACATTGCTCAGTCACTAAAATAGAATGCTAAAAATAAACATTGTTTCATTTTGTATCCTGCTGTTTGTTTATCTACAGATCTAAGGGTGAACCAATCTGCAGATGAAGTCAGCTAAAAGCAACCTGTCAAATAAAAAAACGTTCCTCTGTTTAACCCCTTATTACCCCTTAATCTACTCTAATCAGCCCTAATTAACTCCTTATTCTCCTTCTCCATTTAATTATTATTTTCCTTCTGAATTCTATTTTATAAACTATTCATAATTAAAACTTTTTTGTTTTTGGTTGCTTTGTACATTAATATTTGTACACTTTAACATATATTTACTTGTTTCAAATCGAAAAAAAATCACAAAATTTAAAAAAAAACAATGTATTTAATTTATAAATAACTTTTCAATGCTTTGTACCAGAATCATAACTTCAGTGGCATTTTACACACTATATTTATTTTTAACACTGCTTGAAATCACTGGATCCCGGCCGGTGATTAGTCGCCAGCTCCCGGTGATTGCTGAGCTTCTCCGACAGGGAGGAGAACTGTTTGTAAACAAACAGTTTTCCTCCGTGCTAACATGTGCACTCTGCTTTGGATGTCTGTGCACAGCACAGCCATGCAAAACAGTGTGCTTACAGTAAAGCACACAGACACAGTACTCAGTAAAACAGCGCACAGTTAACCCACAGTTGATTGCCCCTCATGTTAACCCCTTCCTGCCCAGTGTCATTAGTACAGTATCAGTGCTTTTTTTTTTTTTAGCACTGATCACTGTATTGGTGTCAATGGGGATGTCAGTGACACCAAGTCAGTTTTCCCCAGTGTAAGAATGCCCGCCACAGTCCTGCAGTCACGCTATAAGTTGCTGATCACCGCCATTACTATTAAAAAAAAAATCCCAGTATATATACCGCCATTTGTAAACGCTATAACTTTTACAAAAACCAATTAATTTACACATATTGGGATTTGTTTTAGCAAAGACATGTAGCAGAATGCATTTTGGCCTAAATTTATGACGAAATTTGATTTTTAAATTTTTTTTTACTTGTTTAATAGCAAAAAGTGAAAAATTCTGTTCTTGTCTCAAAATTGTCAGTTTTTTTTTTTTAATGCACAAAAAAAAATAATGCACAGGTGATAAAATACCACTGAAAGATCAATTCACGGGAAAAAAAGGACATAAATTTCATTTGGGTGCAGCGTTGCATGACCACATGATTGTCAGATAAAGTAACGCAACGCCATAATGCAAAAAATGGCCTGGTCAGGAAGGGGGGTAAATCCTCAGGAGGGCAAGTGGTTAATTCATAGCACTAGATGGCGTTGGTTGTCACTTGTTTGTTTAATATATGTCATTAGATGGTGCTGATTGTGGCACCTGGGGTGCTATTTACATGTTTTCTGTTATTGGTGGTTGTAGTTCATATGTGTACAGTGGCTCTTGTGGTGTTGTTTAGTTGGGGGGCTTGATCAGCTTCACCGGCGGTGTCCCTGCCTTGTTTGGTTGATGTTACTGTGGGCTGGTAGGAATAGTGCACTGCGTATTTGTGACATTATGTCACTGCGTCATGACCATTGAAGAGTCATGACGTCACCACGTCCAAGATGCAGAAGGACACTAATCGTGTGGCTGAGGGAGATGGGTGGATTGGTGTCAATATCTGCATCCGCGTCTCACCGTGACAGTGATTTGTTGGGTGGGGCAGGAGGAACACACATATATATAAGGCTGAGTTTTCTTGGGCATCTGATGGTGGCAACATGCCTTGTTGTCGACCTAAGGCTGAATCCTTGGAGAGATTGGTGAGTTCATGGAGGACCATGTAGTTGGCAAAATTATATCTGCTGATATTCAGGTATCCATATGATTTTAATATGGATTGATTTTTTTGTAATTTTATCTTTAGATGAATGGCTTTCCAGCCCTTTGTTAGATGTTGTCTATTCACGAGGCATGTATTATCTTCCTTTGGGAATCCTACCAAGGATAATCACCAGGTACATTCTTTAATCACATTGTTTGGTTGGATGGCTTGATCCTTTGGGATAGGGAACCTATTAGAACCCTCCCTAGGAATTCATAGTTTATCCATCAGTTTTGTTATCAACATAAGTTTATTTATCAATTTTACACAGCACATTACATATATATATATATATATATATATATATATATATATTTATATTGTACGTTTACATCAGTCCCTAACCCTCAAGGGGTGTACAATGTAAGGTCCATAACTTAGATTCATACACATACTATTGTCAATTTACACAGGAATCAAATAACCTACCAGCATGTCTTTGGAGTATGGGAGGAAACCGGAGTACCCAGAGGAAACCCAAGCAGGCACAGGGAAAACATGCAAACTCCAAGCAGGTGGTGCCGTGGTTGGGATTCGAACCGACGACCCTAGTACTGCCAGGTGGAAGAGCTAACCATTTAGCCACTGTGCTGCCCATAGTTCTGGCCTTGTGTGCCCCTCTTGCAGCACAATGAATACTGCTCTCCACCCTTAACCATGGGGGGAAATATTGAATCATCTGGAGACAACTGGATATCACCTTCTTACCATGTAGGAACGTTGTTTCTTGATCTGAAGGATATTGGTAAGATGCCTACTGAGCTCCCATTGACACTGATACTACAAAGTTATTTGATATTTGGATTTAAATATAGTTTTCACACGAGAGGTGATTGGGCGTTATTATTAACATTATTATCAACAGTAAGATGTGGATTTGAACCCACATAAAACCATTATAATATGTGTTGTACTGTGTGTTGTTTATAGATCATTGATTATATTTTTTTAGTTCCTCCACAGTGTGATACAACTATATCCCCTGAGGAAGCATGTCAGGATTTATTACACAGTATACTCAATTGGTTTAAAACCATTAACCTGTGAGATCTATTGAACATCATGTCTTGTATTGTTTTTAAAAATTTTTCATGTGGATTTTTAACTCTACATTTGTAATAAAATCTCTAATGGTTTTATCTCAACAACTGTTTAGAGTTTGAATGACCTTGCACCTATAAAGTCCTATTTCGAAGGAGTGACGTTTTATCCTATTTGCCTATGTACTTAGTTTTTAAGTAATTTTCTAGCAAAAGCGTGAACAATTTTACATTTTCAAACATTTCAAAATTGTCCCACACAGTAGGGGTTGAAAAGAGAAACTTGAAACTTAGGAACTTAAAGGGAAGGAGACTTCATGTCCACCAGGAAAAACTATATACATAAACTGCCTTTATCACCTGCCCTTGGTCGTTTACTTATTCTTGTAATTCCTTTATTGGGACAAAGGAACAGGTGTGTACATAACTACAGCAAGAAAAATGGCATGCAATACAATCCCACAGACACAGCCGGGGTACCTTAAGCACAAATTGCAGTCCTTTATTGCAGTAATAAGACGGAGAATTACATAATCAGAAAATAAGAACAGACGAACAATATCCCTCTTCAGTAACCAATACTTTGCCAGGTATCGGGGGGGTTATTATGGTGCATATTACACAATACCAGAGTTCTAATTCCTAATCACCAAAAAAACGTACTAAAGCAGCTGGATAACTTTCTATCCCCAGGATAAATATATAATTATATAGAATATAAACAATTAAAAACAAAATAATAAACCAGCAGTATAAGTGAGACATAATCATATGTGTGTGCCACGTCATACAACTAAGAAATATCTGCATCTACAT